TGACAAGAAAGCAAACTATGTTCAGGTAACTAGTTTATGAACAGTTTGGTTTTCTGTAGTGGAAAAAATTTACCACCCTCAAAACAGTGAAACCTGTTCCATAAGTCTCTCTGCCAGTTTTACAAATGGAGCCAGCTGTGGCCACGGAAGGTTGGGCCCCACTTCTCATTCTTGGCTGCTGGGTACCATCTATGAGTTGGTAACACGGCTTGCAGGATTGGTTCCGGTGGGTGGATCGCTTTGGGTATCATTGGGTGGGGCCTAGTTTTAGGACACTGCTATCTTATGACTAAATCCAAGAAGACCCAACTCAGATTTGGTTGGAGAAAACACCAATTACTGAACCTCAAGTGGTAATGGGTGGCCATCATATTTTCCTACTGACTATTATAATTGTTGCTGAATACTTTGTGCTCTGAAAAAGTAAAATATCACCCAAACACCTGTGGACAAGATTCATTCATTTGAAGAATCTATGTGGCCACTTAAAATTCATTGTGAAATGCTATTAAGCATTTTTAAAAGAGCTACTATTTATGTAAAACTTTTATTTTCTAAATTCCCAAGATATAATTCAAAATAGACAAATTTAGGAACACATCAAAGAGAAAATAAACATTTGGCTGGTATTAACTTTTCTGATATCATGATATTTATGAATATAACATAAACATATTACAATGTTCAAAATGTATCATTTCTTAAGTGTTCCTTTTTCTCCCTCACAAAACTATACAAATTTAGGCCCAAAAAATAGCCTAGGACATTTTTGTATGCTGTAGGTATACAGATTGAGATCAGTTAAAACCTTTAGCATTCATTTTTTAGTGCCAGTTGTCATGGCAACCTAATCCTTATAAATACAATGAAAAGACAGTAAATGTGAAAACCTAAAAATAGCCATTCCCTTGGAAAATAGAAGAATGGCTGGGCCAAGTAACTAAAATACAAAGTAAAAAGGCTAATTACTTCAGTAATTTTAAAGTCAGATTTATGGTACCTAAAAGGGTCTGAACATAATATATATAGCATTCTGATAATCATTGTTATTAGAGCTAATCCTTACAATTCAAAAACAGGCTCAATTTTATATAATTACATTTTTTTCCACCATCCCCAAGAAACAATTACCAGTTCATCTACCAATGAGAAGTGCCCAGGGGCCTAAGCAGGGTTTCCAAGCCAACGCATATGTGGCGTGTATGCCTCCTCTCTCTACGTGGTATGGTTGCCTCAATAAAACTTCCACAAATTAGCATCTTGCTGTCCATCTCTAAACAGAGCCCCACGACCTCCTCTGCCTCATTCCCTGCTCTGCCCCTCAAAGAGCTTCAGCAAAACACAGAAGCACACCAGTGGCACATGGATGGATACCTTTATAAAAGAGAACCACAATCTTCTGAAAGGCTTTCATGAAATGGATGTTGTCGTAGCAGTATTCCTGAACCTTCTGGAGGAGGATCAGCTCTGACTGGCCTTGGGAGCTGAACACGGCCAGCAGGGGAGCATATTGCTAGAACAGAAGTGGAGAGTAAAAGCCATCACTTGCGTGGGAGGTACACAGCTGACACTGCTGGAACCATAACAATAACCTGGAGGGTTGCTTAGAAAAGACTGACTTTAGGATTAATACCTTGTTATCATCATATTGTGTCCAACAGGGTGAGGGGAACAGAACAGTAGGAACAAAGCAGTATGGCAGACCTGTGAGGGAACTGGGAAGAAGATTCACACTTTCTCAATGGCAGAGCTACAGTCCAGTAATACAATGGATATTGTATGAGGATATGACTGCATTTTCACAATATTTCTTAGACATAGCAGGCATAGCAATTATCTTCAATATAGGCAGATTCTCATATTTGGACTCTTAGTGGGTACAGAGAAAGAATCTTGATGAGCTGCTGGGATAAAAAGCATTCATTTAGAAATATCCTTGACTTTCTGACACTGATGCACAGCCATTGTTTTTCTGAGACTTACTCAATTCAATACTTATCTCTTCTAAAGGGCCTTCCCTGATCAAAGTAACATGGATAGTTTATTCACTGCTATGTTCTCATGAACGGTGGGTGCAAACTTGAAAAAAATTAGAAAGTATATGTTTAGTCTGAGTCTGGGGTAATTGTAGTTGGAACCCATTTGCCATACTCTCAGTTAAGACAAATGTGGGCCAGGGGTGGTGGCTCATGCCTGCAATCCCAACATTTAGGGAGGCCGAAGCAGGAGGATAGCTTGAATGCAGGATTTCAGGACCAGCCTGGGCAACATAGCGAAACAACAAGTCTCTACCAAAAAATGAAGAAATTACCCAGATGTGGTGGCAAGCACCTGTAGTCCCAGCTAGCTGGGAGGCTAAGGAGGGAGGATGGCTTGAGTCCAGGAGTTCAAAGTTGCAGTGAGCCCAGATTGTGCCACTGCACTCTAGCCGAGGCAACAGAATGAGACTCTGTCTCAATAAAAAAAAAAAAAAAAAAAAAAAAGCTGCAGTTTGCCCTTGGCTAGGTCAGTTCCTTGCTAAGGGCTGTTACCTTCAGGTGCTTCAGAGCCTGCTCTGCAACAAGTTCTTCCTTCTTGTTCCACTCAACGGCGTTCATTATACAGGTCCACAGAAGACCAATCACTGCTGTTTCTGGAAGATCATTCCTCTTCATTTCTTCTTTGACATAAAGCACCACCTACATTTCATGGAAATGGGGTCAGAAAGTAACAGGCAGATGGAGAGCTCTCTCCTCCCTCCTAGCTGCCCAGTGAGTCAACATTTTGGGGCAGCTAAGAAACAATCTGCTTGGCTTCTCCTTTCCTTGTCTGCATTCTCAGACTGGAAGAGGGAGAAAAAATACAATGATTTGTTCTCAAGCAGACTTATTTTTAGTACCAAAATTAATAGGCTTAGCTCTGGTCAGGAGCTGCTGGATAATGTGGAGTAAGAGAGGATTTTTGTTTCCTCATAGAGAAACCCCTTTGAGTCTAATAGAGTAGGGATACTTGGGCCAGTTTGACTTTTTTGGAGATTTAAAGAAGGCAATAGAGTTGTGAACTTTTATCTCCATCCCTAAACTTTAAAACCTCTTGATGGATACCATCTTGGGTTTGTACAGGTCCATTCTCCACAATTTATTCTTCAATCATTACTTTTGATGATC